GGGGGGGGGGGGGGGATCACCTTTGTCTGAGTCCATACATTCCGATGCTTACGTACATTTCTTTGCTATGTTGATTCAGTTAAAAATCACCCTGCTTCTTTTGATTCCCTTCTCTTTTTGTCTGTGGACAGCCCTGATCTCCAGCATACACAGAGAAAAAACCATGAGAGTTTCTGAATGGATATGAAACAGTGAAATGCGATGCTCCCTACAACAGATGAGATGAACCGCGACAGGAGTGATTGTCAGATCTCAACAAAGCTTTCTCGTTGTGATTGTTGTTGTTCCACGTTTCCGCCATCTTTTATTTAGTTTTTCTCTAATGTACGGGTCGTGAGTTTGTTACTCGTAGAGCTGTTGGTCCCTAGGATCGGACCCCCGGGGGTCCGGAGGAGCTGTCCAGCGACGACTGTGAAGCCCGCCGCGTCAGTGAGGCCAGAGTCGGATCCACCAGGGATGAGGGCGGGAACAACTTGTACCAGCCAATCACTGTGCTTGATAAGTCCAGTTCCTCCAATAGGATTTGTGCAACTCCCATGAAGCTTTTATGGTCCATGCGGCCGTAGTCCCCCCATACAATCACCTGTAGGACAGTCAGGTCAATTTACACAGCAGGAGGAAGAAACACTTAGATATTTTATTAAAATAAAAGTATTAATTAATGCCACCTTCTAGAGATACTATGTTACGAATAAAACTGTTACTAGGTAAAAGTACAAAAGTAATAGCATGGAGTTATGGCTATTTTGCTCCCATGGCAGTTCTTCTTTCAGACAAGTTCAAAGAAAACATTATTACACATTAAGGAGTTTATTGTATGTGTCTGTAGACTGCTCCTGGATACCCAAATGGATAACATTTTTTTTTTTTAAATCAGGAAACTTGTAATAGCACGACATTTTCCAAATTGACGTTATCAACTGGGGAATGTTAATAATGACATCTTAACTTTGCAATGAAGAGGAATGTAAGTAGGGCTCACCTGCAGAACTTTACCCTGTGGGCTCTCCTCGAATAGCAGTGCTTGCTGGTACAGTGGGTCAAGTGTTTTCCGTGCAATCTTGGTTTTCTTTTTGGCTACGTACGCTCCATTGTTCAGCAGATAGACCTTGACGTATGGAGCTGAAGGTAGAGGCAAAACAATAACAAAAAACATTAGTGAGGAACACAGCCACTCTCCAATATAATCACACCTCACAGCTGCTGATATCTTTATGAGAAGGAAAAGCATTGTGAGCTTCGGCTGGGTCTATGTGCTGGATTTCACTGCATGTATATCACTCATAGTAATGAAGAGTGTATTTGGGATGATAGAATCGGAGAGATGAAACCCTCTTTAATGGTCACACATGCAGAGCACACAACACACACAGTGAAATGTGTTTAACCCATCCTAGTACCAGGAGTCTAGTACTAGGAGCAGTGGGCAGCTATTGTACAGCGCCCGGGGAGCAATGGGAGTGAGGGGGGAAGGGGGGTGTCCGGTGCTTTGCTCAAGGGCACCGCGGCGGGACTGGGATCTCTCCAAGTAGCAGTTCACACTCCATATTTTAGGTCTGGTCGGGGACTTGAACCGGCGAACCTACAGCTCACAGTCCAAGCCCCTACTGACTGAGCCACTGCCGGACAGTTAGCAGCTCTGTGGTTGGTCAGGATCTCACCAGGGAGGGACTTTGATCCTGGCTTCTGTACCAGTCCTCGGGCTCTGATAACCTCCACCTCCAGCTGACCCTTCTTCTCCATCATGCCAATCTGGATGTCACCTGGGAAACACAGAAAAAAGGTAAGATGGTGGTGTTAATAAAACAAAAGCAGATCGATGGGGGTGTGAACTTCAGAGATAAATGTGCTGGAGGCTGCACCGTGTAGTAAAAAACACACAGTGACTGTAAACTCAGCCATACAAATATACGAGCAGTTATTAACACGGATGAGAGCAAAATCGTGCATACTTAATACTTCATTAATTTGTATTACATAACATTCCATGAAATTATTATTGTATTATAAAAGTTAAAGTACTATATTTTCACTTGTCATTTTACATTGAATTATATTGTAACCTGATATAGTAGCTTGTATCAAAGTGCAAACACAGAAGACGTATAGATACAACATTAAGTTCATAATAATAAGTAATACTTTTAATTTTTCAAATGAGCATTACCTGCATTTCAAGCATGTTTTTATTGATGTCATTCACTTGTTATGTTTTCAAATATTTGGATTTATTTGCAACATAATTGAAAAAAAGACTCTGCAGAATCTGCATTCACCATTATTTATTAATTTATTAAACGTGTCACTGTTAAATAAACTAATAAATGCATTCAAAAAGATATCTTCTCTTGAGCGACGTTGCTCTTCTGATGTGCTGGCCCATAGTGAAAGTAGAGAGGTCTGATTGGAACTGATTGATTCAAATAATTCTGTGCTCAGTACTTAACTTAGTGCTAGTGTTAAGAAATACATATTGCATCAACAGCATCATTGTATCACCATAGGACATACAGTGGGGCAAAAAAGTATTTATTCAGCCACCAATTGTGCAAGTTCTCCCACTTAAAAATATGAGAGAGGCCTGTAATTTTCATCCTAGGTATACCTCAACTATGAGAGACAAAATGAGAAAAAAAAATCCAGAAAATCACATTGTCTGATTTTTAAAGAGCAGACCTGTAACTTCTTCTTTAAGAGCCTCCTCTGTCCTCCACTTGTTAACTGTATTAATGGCACCTGTTTGAACTCGTTATCAGTATAAAAGACACCTGTCCACAACCTCAAACAGTCACACTCCAAACTCCACTATGGCCAAGACCAAAGAGCTGTCAAAGGATACCAGAAACTAAATTGTAGACCTGCACCAGGCTGGGAAGACTGAATCTGCAAAAGGTAAGCAGCTTGGTGTGAAGAAATCAACTGTGGGAGCAATTATTAGAAAATGGAAGACATACAAGACCACTGATAATCTCCCTCGATCTGGGGCTCCACGCAAGATCTCACCCCGTGGGGTCAAAATGATCACAAGAACGGTGAGCAAAAATCCCAGAACCACACAGGGGGACCTAGTCAATGACCTGCAGAGAGCTGGGACCAAAGTAACAAAGGCTACCATTAGTAACACACTACGCCGCCAGGGACTCAAATCCTGCAGTGCCAGACGTGTCCCCCTGCTTAAGCCAGTACATGTCCAAGCCGGTCTGAAGTTTGCTAGAGAGCATTTAGATGATCCAGAAGAGGACTGGGAGAATGTCATATGGTCAGATGAAACCAAAATAGAACTTTTTGGTTAGACGTGTCAGTGTTTCCCCTAGGATGGAGTCATAGCAGCGGTGCTAAGGCACGTGGGCCCAGCATAATGTGAGCGCGGAGCGCGTGGAATTTTTTAGTGTGTGCGCGTGCGAAGTGCGCCCCGCCAATTTGTTTCTATGGGTCAGCACAAGAAAGGCTCTTGAGGCCTAGTACCAGGGCCGGTTCTAGACAATTTGCTGCCCTAGGTGAGATTTTAGGCGACATTTTATTTGTAAAGAATAAAAGACAAATACACTGCAAAAACAGAAACTTATTGACATAGGTAATAGACGTCAAAATGGCTTNTTGGCGCTCATCCAAATGTTCGGCCTTGATGTAACAACATTCATAATTAAGTAAATGTAACACCCTTTTCACCCCGGTTACACGTTTAATTTGCCCTGTATGGTGGGCGCTGTAAGTGTAAGTGATGAAAGTGGGGGATGTTGGCTCACAGCCAAAGTGCTAGCGTGGTAGCGAGTAGAGCGAGCAAGGGAGAGGGCGCACCGGTACCGGTGCTGTTGTTATTAGAATCTGGTGCTAGCTGCGCTAACGGATATAAGAAGTAGATGTTTCTACAACCAGGGTGGAGGAGAGCTCTCCTGTCAGACTGAGAGGCTCAGTGAGGTGAAGGACTCTCTGAGTATTTAGATAGTTAATTTTAGTCTAAGTTATCTCAGTGGGTCTCAAACGTTTTGACCACAAATTATGTAAACACATATATCCAAGGCACTCCTTTATAATTATTAGGATAAATAAAAACAGGTTTGAAATCATTCAAATGTATACTATAGGACAGTAAACCAAAAATATCGTTTAAAGCTGGAGAGATACAAAAATATGCATAAATAAATAAATGTTAACTGGGTAAAATAAGATATGAATGAACAACTAAAAAATTAAATAAGCTACATTTATTTGTTATTGGCTATGGTAGGTTATTGGTTATGTTCATATACTTATTTGATTATTAAAATGTAAACCGATCTTTTTCATATGGGCGTTTTAGAGTTGTACACCCTAGATCAGGTCTCTAGTAATTGTGTGTACAAAGTGCACCAGATTGAAGCATTTTACCGTAAAATGTTCAAAAACAAATCTTCCCGGGGGAGCATGCCCCCGGACCCCCCTAGAGGATGTGACGTCCCCCCAATTCCAATATGTTCATACAATACTGAATACATTTGAAGCCATTTTGACGTCTATTACCTATGTCAATAAGTTTCTNTGTTCCAGCTGTCGATCAGCAACTATATATCCATAATCCACCAGTTAAAGTATGTGGTAAATTGTACAGCTAATATAACACAACACATTAGTTGTATTTCCTTTAACTGGTGGATTATGGATATATAGTTGCTGATCGACAGCTGGAACACAAACCACCAAATACAAAACAATAATTCAGATCCAGTCGTCATGACTCCACTCCAGAGGGATTCCCCGATCATTTCTTAGAGTTTCTCATCAAGGGGGTGTCTCCTGTCCCCGCTACAAACACTCTGCCTGAGGAAGGTTAGGCTATGTGTATTTTTTTTGTCATTAACCTTTTTCGGACCACTTATTTATTTATTTAGGTGACGATCCGACCTCCATGCTGCTACTCTGGTTCAAACTGCATCCACCAAACAATATGATTTATCTCGACCTCCCCAAAATAACCAAAATCTGACACGGTGTGAGATGTCTTTTTTAACTGTTCTGTCGTCATTTCCTGCGATCTTCTTCATGCAGTCAGTCAACATGAATAACCGCCTTGAGTTTCCAGAAAAGCGCTATATAAGTCCCATGTATTATTATTATTATGAATAAATGAATGGGCATATTTTTGACTATTTATAGGCAAATATGGGCGTTACGTGAAGCCCGCAAAATCTCCTTTGCAACCAGCGATGACTAGGAATCATCGGTTTAAAGAGATCCAAGAGTTTTGTGTTTGTAATAAATGGGATATAAATGCATGAAAGCAGACCGAGGAGCACACTTTGAAGTGTTTCATCAATTTGAAAGTCATACTGTATTGGCGCATTGCAGCACTCCAAACAATAAGCAAGATCTGGGCCCTCTCACGATATCCCGAGTGGGGCCACTTGACACCGTGGCTCTGCTGGAGCGAGAATTAGAGAGACCCCTTCACAAAAATGGGTTTTTATAGAAACATAAACAGCAGCTCCTATTTTTAGCTCTGTACAGAGGTAGCTCTTTCATTCCCATTAACACACACACCACACACTTATTAGGCACTGTGGGATAGCAGGAAGTGGAGCAGTTTGAGTAAAAGTGGGACAAAGGGTCTCCATTATGACCTGCCTGAGAGGAGAGGTATAAAGAGAAAAAGGTGGGTAGAAGAAGTGTGGCAGATGAAAGGAGAACAGAATCTATAGAAAAAAAGCAATAAAGAAATAGAAAGTACAGGGAGAGAAGCGGTAGAAGTGAGGGGAAGGAGGGTTGGCTGAAAATGAAGACAGCGAGGGGGGGTTGATGATGGAGAGAGCAGCTGAAGAGGCGAAGAGAAGAGAAACAAATGAGGTAAAATGGGACAAAGGGCCAATTATTTATAACTCTGTGCGACGGGGCTGGCGGCCCAGCTGTAATTTAGGGTGCATTCATGTCGATGTAGCAAACACACACACACGCACACACACACACACACACACACACACACACACACACACACACACACACACACACACACACACACACACACACACACACACACACACACACACAAAGACCCCTACAATACAAAAAAGACAACTAACATCTTGTTCTGGGTTTTTATGTGTTTGTCGTGAAGCAAGTAATTGTTTGGTTGCCCTCAACGTGACCCGTTGCTGTTTCAGAGACGATTGTTATGCTTTGACAGTATATCAGCCACATTTTACTCATAGGACAGACTTATTGCCAGCTTATTTTATCTGAGAAAAACTATTATGTGCCAGAGTGTTTATGGATCCATGTAGTCCTGTGTTTTGGTGCTTTCGGAAAGAAAATACATAAGAACCTTTTCATCACCATAAGTGGTACTCCATGCTAGGCTTTTTCTTCTTTTCGGAAAGGCAAAAAAAATACGCCATCATTTAAAAGTAAAGTCCTTATCCTGCAGAGTACTACTCAATCATTTCATTCCGATCATGATTGTAGTCCCGATGCCCTTATATAGCAGCATTTCTGAAATAATAATAGTCCTGTATGCTCTGCAAACCAATAAAGCCCTTTTAGATAAAATACTAGCTTCCTCTTTCCAGCATCCATACAGAGATGGAGAAACATTTTGCGAACAGCCACATCTGTTATTAAAAGGTAAACTTTTAGCAGGCCCGGTTCCAGAACAAAATGACTTGGGGTGTACCTGAGATTACAGGAGGTAGGTTTACATGAGCAATAGCGGCCGGCAACAGCAATGAAAAATAGCATTGATGTTATGATCCCCAATGAACAGATTATGGCATTTGTTATGTTTTTTTTTTTTGTCCTGAAATATTTCATCCAGTCCAAAGTGGTGGAATGTGGCAAGGAAAAGCACAAAAGCTTCAAAACTGTACTGATAAAACAAATGAGAACATATAAATCAAGGCAAATATTATTTGAACCAGCTCATGGTTTGAAATGGCAAACATTGAAAATCAAAAGTATTATTAAAAACATGTACACATCATCACCTTGGTCCCATCCTATACTCTGGGAAGAGAATATTTACTGTGCTTGAAAACTGGTATCACATCATCATGTGAGATTGACTTTGTGACCTGGAGAACATTTCAGCTGCAACATTAGCTTGCTGATAAGCTTGGGATATGAGATATTTTTGTAGCCATTCGTGGTGAAGCATCTGTGCTATTGTTTGCATTTCTACAGGCATGGCAGAATATGGCACTATGTTCACATGAATATTTATAGCCATTGTCTATTTTTATACCACGAGCTGTTGCTACTGTCTGCAGTAGATGCAGTGGTGCTGGCGTTTAGTGATGGTTGTTTTAACAATTTTCGCATATCCATAATTATCCACAGATGTGTGTCACTGCTGTGGAAGCACTTTGGAAATGATGCACGCACAGCGAAGCAGGTCACGCGCACCTGACACAATTTGTTGTTTGTATTTTTCGCTCCCTTCTCTTTTTTGAATAGAGGGTGCATAACATTCAACTGGGAGTGCGAAACGCAACACAGATTTCGCGGAATCTCTCAGTTTTTGATAGGTCAGGCTTCCTTTTTTCCGTGTTTGCAGTTTATTCCAATGCTGGAATCTAAAATGACCAGTGATTGGAAAAATTGCCTTATTACAGGTTTCCATAGCCCAAACAGAACAAGGAAGAGGTGCATAAGTATAGTTTTCCATCAGATCACTTGAAATATGATTCATGGTAATAAAGAATAGTCGGCCAATGATGCAAAAACCTTTGAAGGCAATAAGGCTTTCTAAAAATGACAACATGTACTTTATAAATGTATTGTTTCTGCCAAAAACATCCCACTGAGATTAAGCGAGATCATTACCATTGTCTTAATACACATGTTTCCATATAATGTGTTTTTTTGATGAGTTCATGTCTGCTACTGTGATATACTGAACTGTGGTGAGAAAATACGTGTGTCTCCTTCCCTTCCTCTTCCCCTGCCTCCTGCTTAACCTGTCTCTGTGAATGTCTCTCCCAGGTGGAGCAGTTCAAACAGGACCCCAACCCCTCCAAGTGCCTGCACTCTGTGTTCAATGTAGACACCGGGGACGAGGTGCACTCCTACAGCGACTACCACCACCTGCAGGTCAGCCAATGAAAATGATTTTTTAAAATATGTGTTGACTCGGTACAGGCAAGAGACACACATGAATGACATGACAGTATGATGAGATGACAATGCCAGCTCACACAAAATACATTTCAATAATCCCGTTCAAATAAGTAGCTAGACAGTCTGATACACCCAAGATCCAACAACACACATGACATGCGGAGCATATTTATTATTCCAAATAGTCCCATTCTTCGTTAGAGCCATTAATCTCTTATTTTGTATTGTCTTTTGCCAATTTGTAAGGTTTTTTTTAGTAAAGTAATTGCAATGTATTATTTTAAAAGGATTATTTAAGATAACTCCTTGATTGAACTAAAACATAGAAAATAAATGTATTTATTATCTGTAGACCATTTTCATCCAGAACACCAAACAAAATGTTCAAAGATGTACATTTACAATTAATATTGAGGTTTGTTTGAGTGCGAACAAAGGAAAAGTCCATGAAATATGTATTTCTTCATTGATCTACTATTGGCATGCATGTTCAACTGGATTATTGACTTCTCAGAGGTTGATGTGCATTAAATTGGCTCTAAAACTGCTTATTCTTCTGTCAATGGGATTGCCAAAGGTCAATTTGGTGTGAAACGTTGGGATGGAGACTGCTTTCCTACAGTGAAGAAAGGCTAATACATCAAAGAGAGATGGATAGAGAATTATAGTTTTGTGACAAACAGAAACCCTCATAAATCATGAAAGCTGTAAAGATGTTAAACACTCACTGAAAAGTACATTTAGTCGCTGGCTGTGATTTATTCTGCAACAACTTCCCCTTGAAGTAAATTGCCTTATTGATGATTCCAGTTCCAATGCCGAAGCCAAAGCCAAAGGCTTAATAGCTAATATAAAGCTCACGCCTCAGTCCCAATCAGAGACAGCCGTATTGACACATCTGGAAGTATCTCGCAGTTTACAAATGACGGTCATTTTTTTTAATGGTATCTCATCCACTCTGCCCCTTCCCTCTGTCATTGCTGCAGATCGATGCCGTCTCTCTGTTCCTGCTGTACCTGGTGGAGATGATCTGCTCGGGTCTGCAGATCATTTACAACACCGATGAGGTAAACAACCAGCTGAAATGACTGCAGGGGTGATTGATTCCGGACACCAGGGATTTACTCCCCATTGGTTTGACTTGTACAGCAATCAGTATCAATCTTAAGCCCTAGACAGTTTAAAACAACTTATATCATCTTTAAGATAATCACACATTGAACAGGAATACATTCTCCCATGCAGAACATAATTTCCTTGCTGTACATTTAGATGTTCATTGCTTTTTTTTATTGAGTGAAAACCAGATAAACTGCATGTAAATTGACCACTTGCTTCTGCTTGTTTGATAGAAGATGACACATGTTTGGGAACAATTGTAATATCTTCTGCCAACATATGTCTTAATCATTTCAATACTGCTACTGTAAAATCCATAGAATACAAACAAAATAGTTTTGCTTCACAGTAACATATGTGACCCGCTCTATCAAAATCAGTCGGAAGTCGCAACGGCTCATTTCAAAATAAACTTGGATTTGCGTAAAAAACTATTTTTTCGGGGTTCGGGTGTTTTGTTTGATTTTAAACAAACAAAGTCTTGGCTTTCAGAATATGAAACTTTTATTTCCAAACTCACACGATAAATACATTCTTTAAGCTTGTAAAGGGAAGATGACAGGTTGCTCTTCCGCAGCACCGCCCCCCCTCCCTCCGGCTGACATTATGAATGTAAGCGTAGAGTAATCATAAATAACACGGCAGGGTCCGTTACAGTTTGTTTTCATCTGATTTCAATTAAACAAAGTCTTGGCTTTCAGAATATTAAACTTGTTTCAGCAAATTCAGATGATAAATACCACTTTGAAGCTTGTAACTGCATAATTACAAGCGGAGAACGGAGTAACTTAACGTCACAGCAGGCATAACAACAGCCGGTGTTTCTCGTGAGGGTTTTCCCCGGGAAACAAACAATACACACAAAGCAAAATTACACAAACACACACACACGTATACACACGCACGCACACACACTCGCGAGCTTCCCCCAGACCAGTAATCCAAACAAAAATATCTTCCCTCCGTAGTATTTTGATCATTTGCTCCGCTAATAATCAATCAGATCTATGGATTCCAGAGAAGAGGAAACTTTGAAGGCCTTTTTCTCAAAATTATGACTCGGTGGCAGTCATTATATAATTTGACATATTTCGCTTAATATTTGGAGTACAAAAATAATCCTGATATCATTAGAAAGCTAGGAATATCCTCTTTCCAGCAGTGTATACAACTCAAAATGTGTTTTCGGGTCAATGCGACTGATTTCGATAGAGCAGGTCACATATTATAGAGCATCTTAATACGTCATTCTGACATTTACAAGAAACCTGTCTCCCCTTTGTTAGCCTACAGTGGCGATTGGTGCAAACAAAAAATTGCCAAAACACTAGCAAATGAAGAAACGTCTTGACCAACTTGACAACACATGGGCAGCATTTAGAAAACAATCAAAAACTTGACAAAACACATGAAGGTTCAACTAAAGGCGCTGCAAAAGAAAAAACCCTGCAAATATAAAACATTGAAAGAAGCTCAAAACAAACTGAAACGGGACACAGCTCGGAACTGAGTGCTCATTGCCATTTTTGGGGCTAGCTAAGCTAGCTAACTTAGAAATATCGGAAGGAATCATGTGATCACATTATTAAAATGAGCTGTTTAAACATTTTAGGTAACTTTCTAACAACAATGACAGTTGTGTGGATCACTTGTTAGTGTCCCCGCTTCTGTTGTGTTTTGAGCTTTTTGCAGCGTATTGTAATCGCAGAGTTTTGCTTATGCGGCGATTTTAATGACTGTGCATGTGTTGTCAAGTTGGTGAAGATGTTTCTCCATTTGCATGTGTTTTGACACATTTATGTTTTTGTTATTTGCTTCGTTTCTGAAGCTGCGGCGCATTTCTCCTTATGAACATTTTTCGGGTCGTTGTGGCACATTTGCACCTGTTGGCTGCCATATAAGTCAGTTTGTATTCACATGAAAATTCCTATCATGAAAAAGGGCTACTGAAAAACTCAAACAAACTGGAGCCTAATGAGATTCCTACGTTTACAATTATAGGATGCTACATTGTGAAGATGCTATAAAGTCAGAGCAGGGGATTTGTAAATGCAGTTAGATGTACCCTAAATCCACTGCAGATATCCTAGAGTAAACACAATCTCACTTTTATAGCTCACCTCATATTTATGTTTTTGCTGATCCACTCAATTGACTTTCAACGTAGAAACCTTTCGATGATTTCATTGTGTAGGCTTAAATGTCCTCCTGGGAATCCAGCCGGTAACGTCTAATTTGTCAGGACACCAACCCCAATCATTACAGAAAAGCTTTCTATAAACGGATTTCTTCGAGTTTGATATATCTCCCCGCTGTCGATTTTTGTATTTTCTTTACGTTTGTCTCTTAATAAAACAACTTGGCTGTTAAGTTTACACAGTGTGCTGTTTATTGTGGGGCCCTGTGAAGCAGTTTCATTAATTCTGTTAGTTTTTATAGTGTTCGCAGCTTTACTTACCGCCACAGAGCGGGGAAATGTATGCCGCTGATTAAAGGATTCCGTTTGTTTACTAGATTGTGCTTATTTTAAGAAAGGAAGGACATGCTGAAACATTTTGCTGTGAACCAATTAGCGCATGCAGTCTTCACTTCGGTTATACAAAACCCTCCCTAATAACTCTAATTTCACTTCATTTCTCACTCCCTGTGGCAAAAAAAAAGACAATGCAAGCCTTAATTTGCATGTTAAAACGCTGCTTAAAATATTGCATAGTTCTATTTTAGGCAGTCTGCACGCTCATGCAGTACATCCTTTTATTAACAAAAAACAGTTCCTGAAAAAAAGTGTGTGCAATCTTCTCTTTTTCTACTCAAAACCCTCCCTAATAACTCACATTTCCCTTACATTTCTCACACCCAATGGCACAGCAAGCCTTGATTTGCATATTAAAACACTGCTTATACAGTACTATTAGATCATTCAAACTAAGGCAGTCTGCACCCCTACATCCTTTTAATGACTAAAATCAGATCAATTTAAATAAAAAATGGTGTCCTTACTGTTTTAACGCATTTAATTTGGACTAATCAAATCGTTGTTAGCTGTCACTGCTTGCGAAGTCCATTGGTGTATACTGGAAGCTGCATTGCAGTATTTTTTTCCCCTCTTCTCGAGGCAGGAGGTATAGAGAGGCTGCTGCGTGTCCTCTGAGAAGATGCACTATCGACTTCCTTCCAGATGCCTTTTTCTGTCTCATGCAGCATGAATCGCAGCATCTCATTAGCCTGTGTGTATCTGCTGCCTGTGTTTTTCACATTAGACAGGTGTAGGCATTTTCCAACAATGCTGTGGGCATTGGGTTAATGCAGCATCACATGTATGCCTCTGAGTGTGTGCAAACCACCTCCAAAGACGGCTACTGGCAGGGATTGACGTCCAGTTGTAGCGAGATGGATATTCTTGTTTTTAGCTGGAGGGGAGTAACATTCATTAAGATACCATGAAGATACTAAAAGGTTTCCCCTCGTTGATCACGACGTTCCTAAAACCCCAAATAAGAGAAGATTCTCTTTTTTCCCTTCAGAGAATGTCCTATTTAAGTCCTACACAGGTTCTATCTGCCTCTCTTTTCTCCCCTCTACTTTGTCATTTCAGATTAAATCTCCCATCAGTCAAGCCCACACGCACACAGTCTTTTTAATGATTCAAGGCCTTTAAGTCATCGCACATTCTCTCTCTTTTCGTTTCTTTTTTTTTTGGATGTGCTTATTGATTTGACATCCACAGCCGGTGCAAGCCTGATTATAGATACGACAAACTCCTTAATTCTTTTAATTTCGACTTTAAAACCATTCGTATTGTTTGGTGATGGAATCAAGGACACTGCTCCTGAGAGTCTGTAATTAATGTGCAAAGCGCTGATGTTTAAACTTGAGCTTCAAATGGCCGTTTAGGTCCATATGTGTCGATTTAGTGTCGTGTCATGGGCAGTTGACAAGCCAACGGAGCTCCAGCCGCACATAATGTCACACTCTACGACTTAATTACACCTTGTCTACGCTGCAGGGACACTTTGACCTTGAGCCTTGAGCCTTGATGAGGAATCAGCTTTCTTGTCCATTTTACTAACCCATATAATGAGACACACTTCACCCCAGATCAATATCAAAGGTCACTTGGTACTGTATACGTATGTAATTGTGTGTTAGGCTGTGTGTGTGGCTGCGCAAAGTATGGAGACATGTCGTTTTCCCGCAGCCCTGGATCTATGATTGCATGTTTGTTTGAATCCATTCTTAATGTTCCATGCGTTGCTGTGTTTGAAGTGTGTGTTCTGTGTCCAGGTTTCTTTCATCCAGAACTTGGTGTTCTGTGTGGAGAGAGCCTACAGGGTGCCTGACTACGGCATGTGGGAGCGAGGCAGCAAATATAACAACGGAAGCACTGAGCTGCATTCCAGGTCAGTCAAAACTCAGTGAAACACAAATAAAATACAAAATAAATGAATTTATATAGTTCACATGTTATGAGTTACAGGCTGTGACCAAGTAAACACTTTTCAGGGGTGGCATATTTGTAACATCCACATCCCTTCTCTTATCTCTGTCAACAGCTGTACATCACTGTAGTTATCAATCTAGCTATGTATTGTACGGAGGCCCTGAGAGGCAACATGTACAATCTGGTGATCTAAGTCTATTCTAGGCAAGGTAAGACAAGGTTATTTAGCACATTTCAACAACTTTGCAATTAAAAGTGCTTTGCAAAAAGGAAAAGCATTTAGACATTGTTAAAATAAACACATTGAAACTACATTTACATACATTTTCAAAACAGTCACTAAAAAGCCAAGAAAATACAACTAAATACGAGCTAAAATAGAATAATACAGGTAGATCCAAATGGTTTTCTCTCCTGTGTTTAAGAAGAGGTGGAAGAAGTTTGGTATTTTTCATCTATGAAAACACTAATTATTGACTATATCAGCAGAAAGGGAATTAGCTTTGAAGTCATTTTAATTTTGAATGCCTGCCTTGAAACAAGGTTTATATGCAATATATTTTACTTATACACCTTTTATCAGCTTTTCTCTATATTTTTATTTAACTGGGTGCCTTTCACATTATTAATATTACTTCAGTGCAATGTTTAATGACTTTATCAGAGCTGACTGTTAAATTGAATCCATAAAATACATTTCTGAATTAGTCATATTTGTATTTACTTTTTAAATATCAAAGCAAATGCAATAACAAACAGTTGGAAATGTTGATGAAAGAATTTAGAATTAAGACTCATAGTAACATCCATTTGTACCTGCTCCAAATACTTTATTGTCCACTTTCAGGCTTAATTTATTATTTTGTATATCTCCTGCAAAAATAAATCTTATCGAGCCTTTTGCAACTAGTTTATTTTGATTTTTCCAAAAAACAACGAATGGAGCCCGGATTGCAGCTGCAGTTCACAGCAGACAGTCAAGAATTTAACCACACATAATTACAAATAAATACCGTTTTTTTAAATGTTACACCAGTGTAAATCCACTTTTGGCCAATTATAATGATTATAATGTAGCAGTTTGTTTTTACTTTCGCAACAACTGCAAACCAATCACCATATTCATGTGGACCACCTGCTTCTGCTTGCATTGAAGGTTAGTATGGAAGTTGGCGAGAGAGACTTCATGTCGATTATCTCCATACTTCCCTTTCCTGTGGTGTGTTATATAGGTTTTGGGGCATGTAAATGGTCAGCAAACACTAAAAGTCCCAAAGCTCACACAAGATGGAGTTTATTTTTTCCACCAGCTAGGATTAAAATATTACAGACATTTCAAAACAATACAGAAATACCTCACTTGTCCCGAACTATTTCAGAAATTATTTACCATTGTGTGTGAATGTATTCACAAAAGATTGTCGATAACGGGTCCTTTTTGCTTACCATGACTTCTACTTCTGTGCAAGTGAAACAGGAGCCCCGCTCCTCTTGCTTTGAAAAGTAGCCCTCAGTCTTGCAAAACTTTTATTTGTATTTAACCTTTATTTAACCAGATAAAATGTCATTTACAATGCTGACCTGGCCAAGAAGGCAGCAACGTTACACATAACACATAACACAAATATATAAAATACCCAGAACATAACTAAGAAAACAAAAGACGAAAAAGCAGTCACTACATTGTGCACATTAGGACAGTAAGAAAGGTACACTGCTTAATACTGCAAGAGCATCTGGTGGTAAGGACTTCAGACAACTTCAATTTAAAACGGGAGACAAGTGCCCTCAGATTTAGGCGTGATTGAAGGTCATTCCAAGACCAAGGACCATAATAAAAAAGATTCCTTTTTCCAGCCTCAGTCCGCACCGCAGGTACCTGGAACCGTATCCAGGCACTGGACATGAGTTTGTAACAGTCACAAACTGGAGCAAATCTGGCACATATGTAGAGTGGAAGCTTACCTAAAATGGCTTTATACATTAATAAAAACCAATGCTGCATCCTACGCATAGTAAGTGAGGACCATCCAGTTAGGCTACACAGTTTGCAATGATGAGTCCTATAGGGTGCATTTGATATATAACGTAGTGAAGCATGGTAGAGTGGGTCAAGTTTGGCCAAAACAGTGGGACAGGCAAATCTATAAATGGTATCACCGTAGTCCAGCTTGGACAGGAATAAGCGGGCGGACGGCCCGGGGGCAAGGCAGAGTTCAAAAAAGGGGAATTCGGGCGGACGGCCCGGGGCCAAGGCAGAGTTCAAAAAGGGGAATTCGGGCGGATGGCCCGGGGGCAAGGCAGAGTTCAAAAAGGGGAATTCGGGCGGACGGCGGCAAGCAAGAGCCGCACGGGTGACGCGGAAGACCAGACAGCTCCGGAGGCCGTCAGGAGCCGGTTGTCGGGCCAGTCCCCCATGAAGAAGGACACAGACCCGGCAAGGACCCCGGCAGGAGGAGCAGTCGGCCGGAAAACCAACCGACAGACATGGATGTTGGCAGGCCCCCGCCCGCAGCCAAGGGCAGTCTGCGGAACCTCCAACGGTCCAGACATGGGGCTGCAGCGGACACCCCGGCAAAAGAGTAGTCTGCGACCTCCCAACGGCACAGGACACCAGGCCGCGGACCCGGCAGAAGAGCAGCTGCGCGACCTCCACAACGGCTAGGCATTTGGGGTTGGCCAGGACCCTCGGCGAGAGCCATTTCTGGGGACCTCCCAACGTGACAGACATGGAGTTGGCCAGACCCCCGGCCAAACGAGTAGTCTGCAGACTCACGGCTCAGGACATGG